AATATATATATATATATATATATATATATATATATTATAGAAAAAATAATGGATCCCTTTTTAATAGTGGATTTCCTAATATTTATTCTTCTAAAATCTAAAATTCAGTTGATATCTCTCTGCTTTGTTCTCTCTGGAAAATTAAACTTTCTGTTGACAGAACAATTAGATAGGATTTCTGCTTCGAGTACAGGTGTTAGATTTGTGATTTTATTAAGATAATCTTATCAAGATTACACACCTGTTCAAACGGAATTTCAAAGCTTAGTCTTTTTCAATCTGTGTAATATAATATCAGAATATAATATCGAATTACATAGAAATTTGTATATATATAATACTCAAACGATCCATCTCATATTTCTTTTTTAATTTCCAAAAAGAATATCGTATAGAATTATATTTCAATAAAATTTAAAATCAAGATCGAAATTAAATGATTGAAGGATTTATTACGAATCTGAAAAGCTGAAAGCCATGATATTAACGGATTCTATGGACCAAATCCAAGATTAGTCTTGTCTTTTCATGTACATCTTCACTGTCTCGCATCTTTTACCACGGATTAATCAAGTGGAATTAGTGGACGATTACGTTCGAATCCTCTTTCAATAAGAAGTATATTAATGGCACTTAAAATATAATCCTTTTCGAACAAACGATAATTCTATGGCTGCGAATTGTGTCCCATTACCGAGGTTGAAAACAGCCACCATTTCTTTATTTGGATAATATGAAAGTATTTCCATATTATCACGATAGGGGCGACACGAGCGTCGTCCTGCCGCTATTGCCAAACGTTATCTTTCTAGCTCAAGTTGTGAACAGAATTTTAAGCGTGGAAGATAACTCGATGCGAATAAATGAATAATCTATAGGCAATAAAAATGTATTAACGTATGATTTTTTTTTAGACAAGCGTAGAGATACATTTCTCGTGATAATATCTTTTCTTTATCTCGAAAATTCAAGAGTCGCTTGATTGATCTTAACTATTTTTTTAATTACCGTATTTTAATTTATACGTTCGATATAATTGATTTCTTCGAGCAAAAAAAAAAAAAAAAAAAAAAAAAAAAAAAAAAATGATCGATCGATCAACATCGATATCTTCGTACTCAAATTTTCTCGGGGAAACAGACTTCAATTCAGATTGATGTGGCGTAAAAGAAACAACACGCGTTACTTTTTGCGCTATTAATTTTTTCCGATTGATGACCGTAAAAAAGAAAAAGAAGAGAAAAGAACAAACCGTGCAACGAACAATCCGATGTTTTGGCTAGCAGCAGTGATAGCGTGGTATATCGATAAACGATAAGTCCCTTAACTATGAACTTTGACAAGCTGTGCAATTGAAATGCAATCGACGTGAAAGAACAACGTCAAAGTGTTTTGGAAATGGAAAGACGTGTAATACGAACGAATTGCTCGTTTTATTATTAAACCGAGTGGAAGAACTGGAATAGCCCGGTTTATTATTTGCGGTTTGGCAAAAGGATCGTATGTAAGATAAATTGACTCAAATACAACTTGGAATTGGAAAAATTGAATAAACTTGCGACGACATAAAGAAAAGGAAATGTTAATTAAAATACATTATTTACGAGCAAGCAGTTGCGCAAACTTGATCTAACCGATCATTATTAGCCTCACACCAGAGGGTTCTGCGTGTCGAGCTTAACGACACAATCAATATTGCCGGTAAAAAGTTGAAGGGGATCACAGGCTGGCGATTATAAGTAGAACGAAGAATCGGATTTTCTAATTTGACCCGAATCATTCTAAAACGATTGAAAAAGATTAGAACGTTAAAAAGGATATATGCTCGATAACACTGGTTTAAAATAAAAATAAAAGAAAAGAAAAAAGAAAAAAAAATTTCGATGATCTTTATTGATTCGATTCTTTTATTATCATTCGCGTCATAATTTTTTTTATCTATATAGAATTTTTTCGTTTATAAATATGCATGAAATGAATATGAATTAATAATTTCGAAAGTGAAATTGATAGGCATAATTGGAATCGATTAAGATCATAATTAGAATTTCGTGAAATTTTTTATGAATTTTTTATATAATTTGAATTTTCTTTTATAACGATACGTCAATGTGTCGATAAGATGATAAAACTGGAAATAACTATTCGCAGAAATATTTTTTCGATTTCTGGGTGTTAATTAATAGAATTGCTTTATATAACGTTAATGTATATTATACATGTAAGTAAGTACATGGATCAAGGATTTTAAAAGGAAATTGATGAATCAGTCAATTTAAATAAAATCTTTTAAAAAAACTTTTAAAAAATTTTAAAACTAGCATCGATGAATAATTTATAAAGATATGTTTTAATTGTAAAAAGTTCATTATTTTTAACTTGTAATTACATACATGGTAAAAACATACATGCATTATTCAACACTTCCATAGTAGCCATTATTTACGATTTCGATTTTATTTAAGCGTGCATCTTAATTTTAAAGTTTTACGAACTTAGTTTGAACGAAGTTCAAATCTTTTGGAAACATATGACGTAATATGAATTTGAAAATTAAAAAGAAATTATTTATTAGAAAAGAAAATAGAAAAATTCAAATCCGTTAAAAAATTTAACCAAATTTAACCAATCTCTCAATTGCATTACAATAGGATATAAATAAAATATTTTAATTAAAATATTTAATTAATTATAATAAAATATTTAAATTTCAAATATTGTAAAAATAAGAAAAAAAGAATAAAGTTGAGAAAAGAAAAGTAACGTATCTGAACCACTTTATTTCCAATTATTCGGCCCAACGGCACATTAAAGTAAGTAAGTATACGTTCTTATGTATACATATACTTACTTACATCATACATGATATCGTAATGTTTACCTCTTGTTGGGAATGGAGAGGGAAAGAAAGGTTCGGCTGTCGAGTTAAGCTGTATCATTTAGCAGTCATACAGCGACATTCGAGCAAGTACGGTTCTCGCGTTTTCTAAAACAATTTCGTTTTCGTTTTATTTTCCTCTTATTTATTATATTATTTATATATTTTTATCTATATTTATATCTAATTCGTTTAAAATATTCCCCGATATGAATTTTAAATTATGAATTAAATTATATTTAAATTTAAAGTAAAATCTTGTATTTTCAACGTAAAATTATGAAATATTTCAAAAGAATCGAGAAAGAAAAAACAAGAAAAAAATTAAAAACAACGTGTTGTTCGTTTACATAAATCTTTTATCTTCACTTATTATCAACATCTTCTACGTTACAAAGCAATATGCAATTGTGTATACAAAAGTGTGTATTAATGAATAAACGGCCGTGAAAAGAAGACACGCAAAATGGAAACAATCGAAAGTCGTTAAATTGCAAAATGGTGTGAAGTGTAGGCTGCAAAGTGGTTAAGTCGAATCTCAGCTTCGAGCACACGTGACCGTCCATGTTTCGATGACTCAGTGACACTAAGTGCTCTGGCAATTTGTGCTTGAAAAACTCATTTGTGCGGTGTGGCAACAAGAAGATTTTTAACACGAATCGGATTGGAAATTTTGAAAGATTTTGATTTTGCTTTGTGCGTTTGATCTAGATCGATTCCAAATCGTTGAAGAAATCTGTATAGGATGAGAAGTTCGCTTGTTTTATCAATATCGATTTGAATGAAATTGAGTGTTATTTGAAGACGTGTGCACGAAGTATTAACGATTTATGAGAATTTATGCGAGAAACTGTGCGAGTGAGAAGCGTGAGAAATTTGATAAAATTTATGCAAGTTTCTTATTGCGTGTATTTCTCTATTCTGCCTGCTTTTAAAGTCTCGTCGATAATTAGTGTTAATTTGAAAATACGTATAAGAAAAGAAGAAATAAAATTTTTTCGATGTATAAGAGGAAAACAAAAATACGATTTAAAAACGGATTTAAAAGAACTATAGAAGAAGATTTAATGTATTTATTTTAGATTTAAATAATTCTAAAAATAACTTAAATTATCAATTGAAATGAAACCTTTAATGACATTATAAATTAAATCGCGCAATGTTATTCGAAAAGAAGATTTAACGGTATTGTTCTTATTGTTATCGCGTAAAATATTACGTGCAAAAAAGAAGTTGAAAATATTACGACAGAGAAAGAAATTTATTCTGTTGAATTATTTCCAATATTTTTTCATAAATTAAAAAATCTTTCGAAATATAAAAATAACTTCGATGAAATCGAAAGTCTAAAACCATAAATACGGGAACACGCGGAGTGGAACAGTTTTGCAAGAAATATTTAACGAATTAAAATTTAGATTTTCCACCGATAACTAACCTTTTTTTTTAGAGAAACCAACAATGATCGTAATTACGTTAACAATTGTGACCGAGACAAATTCGCGGTGTCGCATAGAGAAACATCAATTAAGTACATGTTTGCGTGTAAATAGCGGAAGAGGCCGTTTATTGGTCACGTAAGTGAAACATTGCGAAGGAAATATTTTTCAACAGTCAATCGTGCAACGCGAACGCGTTCTTTCCTTTTTGCCCATCTATCGCTCCTCCATATTCGCTTCCTTCCTTCCTATTCCGACGGATACGGAATACGGGAACGATGATGGACTCTGAGAAGAAATGTAATCGAACGGCCATCGGAATTGATGAAAACATGTCTTCGATGAAAAGTTCGAAAGAAGAGACGTCAAATTTTCAAAAATCGAAATCTCAAACGGCGGTGGAGGCGGAATCATCGGCGGCAGGCTCGTCGAGAGGGAGTGGTTGTTTCTCGAGGCGGGACAAGGTGACCGATATTCTCGACAAACAATCGTCCACCGATTCCCCGAAAATATTCAAATCTTCGAGATTCGGGAACGAGGAGAGTCACGAGAATAGATGGAAGAAATTTTGGGACCATCATCGAAACAAATTTCGACAGAGGTGCGAGAAGGATCTCGCGACGAGGAATCGTTCGCTCGAGGAGATGACGACCGAGGTGGACGCTGTGTTTCGAAAGGCGATTCGAAATATTCGTTTCGATCGATCTTCCACCGCGGACGAGAGCTGTCCAGAGAAGGATAACAAGAGTGGGAAAGGGACGGCGAGCGTGTCGCAAAGTGTGGAGAAATCGTTACAGCAACGATCGAGGTTGGCTCGTTCGAAGGAGGAAGGTACGTTTACGAACAAAATGGAAGAACACGATGATCCTTCGCCTCTTAAAAACAGCGAAGGGAGAGGGGAGGAAAATACGTTGAACGCGATCAGTCGTGCCAATTTTCCCCTCGTGGAAATTAATAGGGGGGAATGGAATGAAAACACGAGGGCAAAAAATCCTTCGATCAGGAAATGGAGCTCGTTGGAAAATTTATCCATCAACGCGAGAGGAGGGAATTCTTGCGATCGGAGCATAGAGGGCCTATCGATCGAAAGAGTAATCGGATGCAAGGAAAAGAGAAGGATCGAGTCTTTGAGGTCTTCGTTGGAAAGGAAAATGGGATCTGTGGAGAGGATGTTGGAGGATCAGATAGAGAAAATATGGGACGAGAAAGTGGAGAAACATCCGTGGTTGTTGCCTATCGACAATTGGATCGTTGATCGTTGCAGATCTTCTCGAAAGTGTTCTTCTGCCGTTCAAAACAGGAGAAACGATAGTTTACACACGGAGGAAGGGAATTCGGTGGAGAAAGAACGAATTGAAGAGAGTTTCGATTCTAAATTTATCGCTTCGGGAACGGGAGACGGAGAGGGAAGGGTGGAGATGAAATCGATTGAACATTTGAAGAAGCCGGAAAGATTGAAATTCGAAAATATGAACTCGAATTCGAGATTGAAGAGGCTCGATCAGTCGAAGGAGGGAGAAGTTTTGGAGATGAAAGATGTAAAACACTATGACCTATTTGATAAACTGAAGGACAATGTTAAAGAGAAAATGGAGGATATTCACAGGGTAGATTCGAGTATTTTTTAACTTTTTTAAAAACGTAGAGAAATTGAAAAAAAAAAGAAAAAGAAAATGACGATGGATAGATCGTTAATAAAATTGTTATTTTTAGAGGAATCAATCAACGGTTATAATCTGTATTTCAAGAAAAACAAAATCATTATGAGTATCGTTAAAAAGATTAAAAAATAAAATTTTAGAGCCGAAATAAGTTTTAAATTAGAAAATACGATACCGTTCTTCGAAGGGAATTGAATCATCCTAATATGTTTAATTTCTAATCTTTAAGTGATTTGGTACCTCTTAAAATGTGAGATTCAATAAAAACTTGATTCGAGATGAACGATAACATTCATAGATAAGGTGTTGATGTTTGTGAATTTGATAAGAAGCTCTTGTTAACATTTAAAATCACTTAACTTATATTTTTACTTAATTCGTATTTTTTTTTTTTTTTTTGGCAGTTTCTACATTTCGAATAATGACTTTTTTCAAATTTCACCACACAAAACATTTTGTTCACTGTTTCGAAAAATAAAGTTTAATGTGTATATACATACAATACATATTGTGTCTGTGTATTACGTAGAATTACGATTAAACTTTGATTGATTCCTTTTGTACGCGTGTACAATCGTTACAAATCGTTACAAATATATATATATAATATAAATAGATATTTTGGCGCACGTGTTCGATCTGAAACTATTATTTGCAACAGTGAAACTTTTTTAAATTTGTTATCCTCGATTATCCTCCAACGAATATTTTACGTGGTGTATTTTTTATTCACAGTACTTCCAAAGGACCAATCGATTGGCAGATGTAAATAGACGATTAAAGTCGCAAATATGGAGCTCCGTGGTGACGATCGTTCTCGTGGAGGCGAAGAATTTGCTACCTATGGATATAGAGGGCCTCTCGGATCCCTACGTAAAATTTCGGTATAAATAAACATCATTATTCTCGAGTATATGAAAAAAATATTATCAAACTAATTTTATCGTTCGTTAAAAAAATTCACGTCCTCCAACAACAAAGATGTCTTCCAACAATTCCAACAATTCCAGTTTAAATAATAATTGCGATCGTCTTCTCCTTGACTCCAGTCTTGGGACAGAAAAGTACAAGTCAAAAGTGGTGCACAAGACCTTGAATCCCGTTTGGTTGGAGCAATTCGATCTTCACCTATACGAAGATCCCTATTTAGGGCAGGAGTTGGAGGTGACGGTGTGGGATCGCGATAAAAGCCATCAGGATGACCTAATGGGGAAGACGGTGATAGATTTGGCAACGCTCGAACGCGAGACGACTCACAGGCTATGGCGCGATCTCGAGGACGGTTCTGGAAACATTTTTCTCCTGTTGACCATCAGTGGAACTACCGCCAGTGAAACGATCAGCGATCTAGCTGCCCACGAGGAGACTCCTCGCGAACGCGAACAATTGTACCAAAGATATTCAATGAGAAACACGTTGCAGAGGTTGCGAGATGTTGGCCATTTAACTGTTAAGGTTTGTCAAATTTCCCATTTTTTCTTTTTCTGCTTTCTGGTTTTTAAGATTCGTGAAAAAATATGGGAAAATTTTCTTTTGCAAAAATATTCGTTTCGTCTTTGTTAACGAGTTATTAACAAAGAAAAAAAAAAACACCAATCACGAAGTCGCGACGGTAGTTTGAACAAATTCAAACAATATATAAAAAAAATGCATCGAATGTAACAAATATTTGTCTATCGATAAAAAATTACATCGAATTATATTACGAACAAATTATATACAAACTATATATTTCGACTAAGACACGTGTTCCATGATCGTGCGCCAGTGTTTTTTCTTAAAAACTTAACAATAGTGAAATGAAAGTTTTTTGCAAAGGAAAATATTTTTCGAAATTACTTCAAGAATCTCCAGTTAATACTTCCACATTTTTTGAGACACTCTGTATACATACTTATACTCTGTATACGTTTATCCAGGTATTCAGAGCGCAAGGTCTCGCGGCGGCCGATTTGGGCGGGAAGAGCGATCCTTTTTGCGTGTTGGAATTGGTGAACGCTAGATTGCAGACTCAGACGGAGTACAAAACGCTGGCTCCAAACTGGCAAAAAATATTTACTTTGTAAGTTACATTTAATTTTGTTTGAATTTAATTTTTGTATAAAATTTATAATACGATTTCTTTCGCAGCAACGTGAAAGATATTAATTCGGTGCTGGAGGTGACGGTGTACGACGAGGACAGGGACCACAAGGTGGAGTTTCTCGGGAAAGTTGCCATACCTCTTTTGAAGATAAGGAACGGTGAAAAACGATGGTACGCGTTGAAGGACAAGAAATTGAGAGGTCGAGCAAAAGGGAATTCCCCCCAAATTCTGTTGGAAATGACCGTGGTGTGGAACGTTGTGAGAGCCTGTGTACGAACGTTGAATCCCAAAGAGAAGAAATACATGGAACCGGAGATAAAGTTCAAGAGACAAGTGTTTCTGCGTAACGTTCTCAGATTGAAGGCAATCATCGTTATCGTTATCGACATTGGAA